CATGACTTAAAACTCACAAGAGTCAATTTTGCACAATAAGACCATTAAATAATGACTCAAAATATATTTAGCAGAGTTATTGAACATTTTTCTTTACTGAATAATTCCATACATCTTACTTCATATATTTAATGTCTTCTGTTTGTATATAAAATGTCAATAGCAGTAAACGGAGAGAAAAATAATGAGATGGCGAGTCCAAACTTTTGACTGGTCGTGCAATTCGACTTGAATATCAGACAGCGATCCCTTGTACCCGCCGCTCATTTAGAAATAATGCTGCTTATTATGGTCTGTAATCTTTCTCCGTGTTTTTTTTTTTTTTCTTCCACTAAGTATCGGAAAAGTCGTATCCAGGCAACGTCAACAGCAAGCAACCGCCAGCCAAATGTGAACTATGCGACTTCTGAGGCAGTAAAGTTATGTTGGGGTTTTGTAATAAATTGAGTTGAGATTTTGGAGCTGAAAACGGCCCTTGCCCTCTCCTCGTGCAAAGTTTATATCAGGCTGAAACAATAAAACTGCAAGACTCAAAGTGGATCTTCGTAAAAACAATAAGTAGTCCTGGGGCGATTGCAAAACATCAAACTCAATACAGAGGAAAAGTCTTGACGATTGATAAAGATTTCGATAAAAACGCAATATTTTCGAAGCCCAGTTTTGTCATATTTTGTGCTCATTAAAAGTGCATGATGTAACTTTTCTGGTAAAGGGTCCGCCCTGTATCGATGTTATTGTTTTTTTTCTTGGAATGTTCCACAGTAGCGCATCAACAGGCCAACTTACAGCTCAGATCTGTGGAGAAGTGGGCCTGCTCACAGTAAGAATGCATGTCTTTGCGGTAGTTGTGAGAAATAAAAACACTTGGTAATGAATAAATACAAGATATACAGGGTGGAACAAAAAATTTACATCTTGCATTCCATGTAGGCAGTGTTGGGAAGTAACAGATTACATGTACTGGAGTTACGTAGTCAGAGTACAAATTATGATTAACTTTATTCGGTTACAGTTACAGTTTCAGTGAGTGGTAATTGGATTACAGATACTTTGTTGAAATAAATGGATTACATGGCGGTATTTTCCAGTTTTGGGTAATTCCACTCATTGCTGGAAACTAAACTAGGTCTAAACTAGATCTTAACCAGGTCTAAACCAGGACTAAACCAGGATTTAACAGGATTTAACAGGACTAAACCATGCTGTGTGGACGTGTCTCCTCTTCTTCTATCAATAATATTTTTTAATACGGTTCAGTAAAGTCTGGACATTTTATTTTCTTTTAGCAGACAAAAGATCTCATGTGAAGATTTCCTAGTCTTTGCTTCTCTACAGCAAATCAAGTAATCCAAAGTATTCAGATTACGTTACGCACCTTAGGTAAATTAATGGATTATGTTACAAACTACATTTTAGGGCATGTAATCTGTCATCTGTAGGGGAATACATTTTAAAAGTAATCTTCCCAACACTGCATATAGGTTCTATTTACGCTTACGTCCGAAAACTGGCAGACATCTGGAATCATGTGGTGACTTCCTTTGGGCTCTGTTGGCAATAATAACTCTGACAAAATCTAGGAAAACTGTGAAAATGGTCCACTTTTCTTCATCTAGATGTCATTGTATTCTTTCTTTTTTCCTTTCATAAATTGGCTATTGTATTATGCATTATAATTTGTCAAAAATAAATAAATAAAAAAAGATGTCATTGTAGCGTTCCGTTATGTTCAGCAGAACAATAGTTACAACCAGCTGTCTGTAAGTGACATTGAAGATGCGATTAGAATGATGACTCCCTTGGAAACTTTGTCAGATTGTGAAGACCACAGCTGCTAAATCCATGGTTTTGTTTTTTTTCATACATGCTCAGTGTCGATAACTACACAGGAAGCCGTCATCCGCATGTTCCCAAATGTCTTCTAATAAGCGTGAACAGAGCCTATTACGCACAAATGAGTGAGTTGAGAGCTTTAAAGCCTCCTCAAACACAGACCTAGAGTTGTGTTTTGTTTCATTCCATATCAGCTTGTCAAAAACTGATCCCGTCAGATCTCAGAAGCTAAGCAAGGCCGGGCCTGGTTAGTACGTGAATGAGAGACCGCTGGGAAAATCAGGTGCCACAGGGGGGCGCCAGTCATTGTGTCCTTAGGCAAGACACTTCACCCACATTGCCTAGTATGAAAGTGATGTGTGCGTGAGTGATGGAGGTGGTCGGAGGGACCGATGGCGCCGATTGGCATGGCAGCCTCGCTTCAGTCACTCTGCCCCAGGTCAGATGTGGCTATAATAGTAGCTTACCACCAGTGGGTGTGGAGTGAATGAAAAAAAAAAAGAAAAGACTGAATAATGCTCTGTAAAGTGTGACATATGTCTGTGAAAAGCGCTATATAAATAAAGACTTATTACTTACTTAATTACTTACTTACACATGTTTGAGTAACTCTTTATTATTACTTTGTCTACATCCACCTTGTGATGTCATGAAGCGGTAGTTTTCAAGTTAACAGCTCCTTTTACCTTTACTTCAGTAAACATTGACAATTCCAGGGCTGAAATCATCCTCATGATTCTAGTGAAAGTGTTGGAAGATTAAAAACAGTGAAGTTAAGTTCCTGTATTACCACATGACATCACAAGGTGGAGTGCTTTCTGTTTGAGAGAAGAACTCAGCCTAAATTCGCAGCGTTTGTGTGTTAAAAATGTGTGAACGAAACAAAACGCAACTCCAGATCTGTCTGTGATGAGGAAACAACATTGTAACAGAGACAGAAAAATTGCATAATATGGGCCTTTAAAAAAAAAAAAAAAAACTCATCTTAAATCTATATTCACACCCATATTTTGTGCATCCCTGAAAATACCAGATGCTGAATACATGGATCAACAAATCTGTGAATAGGCATTTGCCAGCAGCCCTCTTCTAATCAAATCACTTTTACTATTACTACACATCTCCTCTGCGTTCCACTAACCAATTTTGCACTTCAACGGAACACCATGTACCCACATGTAGGAAAAAACACAAAAACAACAACTGTCCTTGCAATTACTGCCATTGGAAATAGTGGAAATTGAACAGCCCGTGACTCCAGCCCCCTCCTCCTGATTGGATGCTGCATTGGAGGAATAATGTTGATGCAATGCAGCAGATTTGGGGCTATGGCACATAAAGCTACGAGCAAATATGCAATCACTGCTTCTCACTCAATCTGCTCCTGCTTTATTCTCATCACACTGAAAGGGGTTTACTACCTATATGGCAGCTTTAAAATACATTTAAAAGTCCTATATTACAGACAATGGACTCTTGTGAGCTTTAAGTCATGTTATAATGTTGTTACCTCCTCATAAACAGACCTGGAGGTGTGTTTTGTTTCATTCACACATGAGTGAGTAAGCCTTTGTCTGTCTACATCTCTAAAGCTAAAAAGTGTTCCACCCTGTGATGTCATGTAGTGGTAGTTTTCAAGATAACAGCTCCTTTTACATTTTGTTCAGTAGAGATTGGCAATTCCAAGGCTGAAATCCTCCAAATGATTATAGTGAAATTGTATGGAGTTTAAAAATTGGCATTTGCTAGACGACACCAGAATTAGTAGAAGTGAAAGAGACTGGAGAAGACGAGGAGAACACTATGCTGCCTGTAACATGGTTCAGCATAAGCAGTTTGGAGGTGGGTCAGTGATTGGAATGAAAACCATGAACCCACTCTCAGACAATACACTGGTGCCTTAGGACCTGGGTTCCACCTGATGCACAACAATGCTCAGCCTCATGTGGCCAGAGTCTGCAGGCAGTATCTGGAGGATAATGGGATTGATAGAATTGGCCCTCACAATCACCTGACATAAACCCGATAGAACACCTCTGGGACATGATGTGTGAGTCCATCAGACGCCGCCTGGTTGCTCCTCAGACTCTACAGGAGCTCAGTGATGCCCTTACACAGATCTGGGTGAACACCCCTCAAGACACCAACCGTCATTTCATTAGGAGCATGCCACGACAATGTCAAACATGCACAAAAGCACATGGGGACCACACAAGATACTGAGAGGCATATTGAGTTGCAGAAATTATATTTTGGCAAAATGGTCTGCAATGACATGCCTGTCATTATTTCCCTTTTTGAATGTCAGGGTGTCTATAAAATGAAGCCCTTTGTAGGCTGAAAATGTTATTTTCATTAAAAGAGGTGGAATCCTTTTCTTCCTAAGACATTGCCCCGTCCATATTTGAATAGATATCCAGCATATTTATTTTTTTCACATTGAGATCTGATGTGTTTTCAGAGTGTTCCTTAATTTTTTGGAGCAGTATATAATAAAAATATCATTGTGATAGTTATCATAGTACATATCAAAGACTCGAGCTGGGATCCAAAAAGGTGTTATACACACCACTGCACCGAAGGCTGGCAGTTCAAATGCCGCTCTCGACATAAACATCATTGGTTGAGCGGTCAGATCCACTGACACACAGGTTGGTGGTGCAATTTCAGCTCCCACAGATGCATGTTGTTGTTGTTGTGTCATTGGACAAGACACTTAATCTACTTCACCCCAGTGTCTGTGTACACTGGTGTGTGAGTGTGTGTGTGAGTGGGTGAGTGGTTGCTTAATGTAAAGTGCTTTGAGTGCTTTGAAGGTGGAAACGTGCTGAACAAAAATGTGACCATTTACTATTTACCATAAGTTTTTAACCAGCTGCCCACCTCTTATGCACAGAACTACAAACACAAACAGCTCATGAAGTAAAACGTCAAAAAACTAAATTAATATAAATTCAGTATGATCCAAGATTATCCACCATTCCTACAGTCCAGTTCCATGCACAACCAATACAGATTTCATACACCAGGCACAGTGTCCAGATGACCACCACTGAAACTTCTCTACACTGAAACACTCCTGGACAAATGAAACATTACACCATCTACTTGTACTATTAACGTATCAAACTGAAGTAGCTCTAGTAGATGTGTAGTACTGTACTTACGGCACTGCTGGGGTCGATGCGCGGCCTCTCCATGGCGATGGTGATGCAGTTGAGGAAGATGATGACGAGAACCACGTGGTCGAACATCTTGTGAGTGATGATCTTGTTGCACACGATACGGAACCTACGGAGCACAAGAGGATCGTTCATGTATGACGACCTGGACCAACTCAAGCTATTTTACTTATAATATTTCATTTGCTGTGTATGATTACAATAATTCCCCCACTGGTTCTGCTCAGAGTTAAGGTGGTCAGCAGAGATGTTCAGTAAGAGAAGGCTGGGTAAGGAGGGTTTCCTGATTGGTTAGTACTTCCTGGAGTAGGCAGTGACAGCTAAAGTAGGTGAAAATATGTCTGTATAAGTCTGTATAAGTACTGTATTTTTTAGACTGTAAGTCACGCTTTTTTTCATGGTTTGAGTGAACCAGCGACTTATACTTTGATGCGACTTATATATTAAAATTGTCAGACTGACAGCCGCAAGAGGCTCTAGGCTTGTGTGTCAGTATCTAGTACTACTATTACTCCTGTACCACTGTCACTTCACACTCTACTGCGCATGCCTCCTGTAGAAATAGCCGCTGTCTCACTGCAAAGAGTGAAATATTCAACTGAAAACGGTAATCGAGCAGCAGAAATAAAGTTTGGAACCGGGCGGGTGTGCCATGCAACTTTCCTGAAAGTCACCGGATGAATTGATAAAACCTGAACTTCAATGACAATCGAAACCAGAAACCGAATTCAGAAAGGCCGGAATAATTCTAACTGGAACTGATGCTGAGTCTGACGACAGCTACACGGAAGAGGAAGCAGTGCTCTGTTTACATCATGGATCTATGGTTTATCTCCAGAGGTCGCACAGAAGTGACACCGAGGATGAAGAATTCAATGGATTTAGTGATTTGGAGTGAGATGGAGAGTTTGGTAAACTTATGTTATGTTGTTAATGCTATATTTATCCAAATAACTGTTAATATGTTTCATTAAAATAAAAATTCTGTTGTTATTACTATAACTTGCCTTTCAAGATGAAATGTCGGTTCTTGGTCTCTGATATTACAAAATATATATCCCCAAAAAGTGCGACGTATATCTGTTTTTTTCTTCTTCATTGCTCATTTTTTGGTTGGTGCGACTTATACTCCAGAGCAGCTTGTAGTTCAGAAAATAAGGTAAGTGTTTTCACAGAGAGAAAAAGAGAAATTGCTTTGTTACTTAAAGATGGACTTGTAACTTCTAACTGCTAATAAATAACATATTTAGAACGAATACAAATAAATCTACTGAACATCGAATCAGGTTTGTGAAGTTGTAGTATATTGTTTTGTAAGCTTATGAATTAATCAGTACAGCTAACTGTAAGGAGTTTTCGAATAGGACCTGGGAGAGATCACTAAATTACTCCAACATGCATGGACGACATCTATAACCTCTTTAAGTCTGTTTTTGATGAGAGAACAATGTTATAAAATGGTAGAAATCTAAAAAGTTGTATTACAGATTTCACCCAGACATAGAGCTTAGAATTTTATATTAGAAAGTAAATGTTTTTTTTTTTTGCCCCTGAAGCAACTGTGACCGAACCTGCTCTATTCTATACCTCAAGAGCGCATTGATTCAGTGCAGAATGAACTTTGATCAGCATTGGCGCGGCATTTAGCGAGTACAACACCCAGATCTGAATTAGCTCGAACACATGTATTACAGTGTGCGGTACAGGACCGGTGGAGATGAGAGAAGCTGCAGATCTGCTTTGAAGCTCTGTATCAGACACAGGGCAGCAGGGGACATCATTATCAGCTCTGTGGACTGTGGCCTGCAGCGAGGAATACACGCTCCGAGGAGGACAGCGCCAGATGACAGAAAGGGTTTTCTGAAATAACGCTAAAACAATGTTGTTCGGTTTTGGAGGGAGACATGCTGTTTGTAAGGATGGGTGATATAACAGCTCCATTATTGTATTGGTCCTTATTGATATTTAATACCAATATTTGATACCAGTATTTTTATTGATATAAACATCTTGCAAAAGCATTCTTACTGTGAGCAGGGTCAGCTTCCTACAGAACTGACGTAACTTGACCTGGGGGGCTTGCCTGCTTATCACCATGCAGATGTTATTGCTTTGTTACTGAACTTCAAGAAGGCCACCAAGTCAGAAAAATCTATGATATACAGTGGAACATTCAAGATCAAGGAGTCAAGATACTTCACAAACTCAAGACTGACATCTGGCCTGGCTCCCGCTGTTGCGATTACCGTATTTTCCGCACTATTAGGCACTCTCTTAAGTCTCCAACCCCATCAAAAAACGAGTGCGTGCCCCGTCGTCCAGAGTGCCCTATACACGAATCCACTCGGGTGTCCCAGCACGACTTCAGTAAACTACAAAGCCGCACCACCCGCAGCGCACGCAAACGCACACGGAGCAGACGACGGCCACGCAGCAAAAAACACCCACAGCCACACTCATCACTCCACGCCGGCGAGGAACGGAACGGAGGAACGAACAAAAAATCTCAATGTGCTGAGTCACTGCGAACACGCCAACAATCCGGCGGTCCCAGACATCACCCTCCCTACACACCACAACTGAACAAAGCCCAGAGTCACCGTGAACGCCACAAACAAAGTCCGACTGACCCATTAAACTGTTGTGTTTCGTTTAAAGTCCAGTGCGGTTTGTTTGTGAAAAAAAAATAGACCATTTAATGACAGTGTGTCTTATAATTCAGAACACCTAATAGTGAGGAAAATACGGTACCCTGTTAACCAGTGGTTCTGACCAATCACAGGGCAGCGTTGTAGTTTGGGCGGAGCTAAAGGTGAAGTGCCTGAAAGAACCAAAACAAACATTGCCAAGAGATATCGCGTGCATTTGTGGACGGGGAAGATGTCTACACAACAAGTTTAATTTTTGCTTCGCTGTTGTGATGCTTTGACCAATCAGGTTCAAATATTTGTTATGTGACACTGTTTCCCAAACCTTTTCAGATTGATGTGTAGAATTCAGAGTGCTACAGACATTAATCACATGTTGGCCATATTTACATGATGTTTTTGAATGTTTTGAATTAAATAGTTCAGAATTAAAATATTCTCCTTCGTGTTTACATGGAAATAATAATTCCAAATTGAGGTTTACATGGAAAACGCGTTAAATCGCCTTTATTTAATTCTGCTCAACGTCTGGGGGTAGGGAAGGGTTCTGATTGGACAGCGGGCGCATGAAAGTATTTACATTTCAGCTGCTACCGGCTTTTTTGTCATCTGGGTTTGTCGTTACGCCGCGGACACAGACATGATCCAAACTTTTTCTGCAGTGGTTCCAATGATAATTGCGCAGGAGCTGGAGAATTCTCTCTTCACGCTTTACATCTGTCAGCTGAGGAGGAAAAGGGAAGAGTGTCGGAGAAGGGAGGAAGAAGACAAACTGAGTCGACGGCTGTTCTACCTCAGCCAACTCCCGCATCCCTCTCGCAAATCCAAAGAGACGTGAATGAAAGTCCGAAGCGAGAACTGGTGGAACCGGATCGTCTGGATCACATCAGAAGGGCGACCCAACGAGCATGTACTGAACGATCAGAATTATTTTTAAGACGAATAAACGTTTAAATGATTGAGGAAAATCTGAATAAACCACCCATTTACTTTGAAATTAAGTTGAATTCAGAATAATCATTTTCATTAGGAATTAAGTATTTACATGGTCTTTTTAAAGCGGAATGAATTATTCAGAATTAAATTATTTGTACACGGAATTAAAGCTCTCATATAAACGTGGCGAAAAAGCAGGCCTTAAATAAAGAAATGGCCTCAGTAAGTGTAGCTTATCTAAAAACTACAGTAAAACGCTAACTGCACTTTATTTATTAAGTAAAGTCTGAAGCCATTAAACTCTCCTAGCCTCCCTTGATCAGAGCTGTATCTTGTGGACTCAGACGCCTCCTGGTAATGAGAAAACCATATCCATCGGTTGTGGTTAAGGAGGTGACAGATGCTCCACACGCTCCTAATGTTCTTCATAAATACTCTGGTAATGACTCTGCGTAAAAACATGGAGCGGGCATCATTATTTTGACATAAACACAACCCTTTTTATTATTACGGCGCTTTAATTTCACCCTAAATCTGCTGCTGCTTACACTGCTGCTCAGCCTGACCCAGTTTCTCTGTCTGTACTGAGATAAATATGCATCAACTAAATAAAAAAAAATGCCAAAAATAAGATGATGTTGCTTACTGCAGTCATATGGGGTGATAATGGGTGACGGTTCAATTCTCAATTCTCTATCCCATTTATAAATACAGCTGTTTGGCTTTGAGCTTGAATAAGTATTTGAATATGTCTAATTAAAAGGCAATGTACTTGATCGAGTTCATTGTAAACAGTTTGCAGTGGTCCAAAGTTCTTCCTCATGTATCTTGAGCATCCTGACTATTCACAATGATGAGTTTATACGTGCTTTTCACAACTGTTACTGTTACCTTTTAGCCTGATTTATCAGCCGGTTTCACTTCGTAGACATCGCTTGAATTTGTTCACTCGACGGTAGGCGGGTACTTTTTATTTATCATTTAACCAATCACTGCTATTTGGTTGTGACGTATGTACGGGGCTAACTGGTATATTAAGCTCCTCCCAAATCCCGTAGGAAAAAGGGCAATAATGTCTTTCCTCTTAATTAAGCTATTATTGTAGCCACAGCTGCGATGGGGCAGACTGATGGAAGCGCAACTGCCATGCCAATCGGCGCCATCGGTCCCTCCGACCATCACCGTCACTCACGCACACACCACTTCCATACTAGGCAATGTGGGTGAAGTGTCTTGCCTAAAGACACAATGAGTTATTCTCACTGGCGCCCCCCCGTGGCACCAGATTTCCCCAGTGGTCTCCCAACCAAGTACTAACCAGACCCAGCCTTGCTTAGCTTCTGAGATTTGACGGGATCAGGCTTTTACAAACCGGTATGTGAAAAAAATTTCAAATGCAGGACCACCAGTTACGCTAAGGCAAGAGGAGTGAAGTGTATTACTCTTGGGCACAACAAAACACAACAACAATATCCACTGGTCAGAGTTGGAATTGAACCATCATTCTTTTTATGTTTGAGGGCGA